GGAAATTTATGAGGGTAATTGATCTCTCGATCATTAAGCAAGATATCTATTAATATTTGTTAACAATCCATTTCAGGTCATTGCACCCACTGACCTCTTTTTTTCCCCACCCTGTTATAACATGTCTACCCAGAGGGAGCCAGAATAACTGAGCAAACAGTGAAAAACTACCCAGTGTGCTGTTAACATGACCTGTGCTCAGAAATGCCAAGGACACAGCAATTTTCATTCCAGCTACCCAAATTGAACGTAGTAAATTATCAACAACTGCACTGACATAGTGTCTGGCTATTTATAATGGAATTTTTGTTTGTTTGTTTGCTTGCTTGTTTTTGGAGGTGTTTTTTTTTTTTAAGCACCATTATTCATGGAGCAAGTACAAAAGTACTTGATAATAATTCTGCACTGTTGAATCTCAGGCTATATCTGCGGCAGGATTAGTATCCTGAGTGTAGGAAAATGAACTCAGAACTATGATTTGCCCTTTAATTAGAGAACTTCAGGCTGAGCTCCAGGTTGTTCACCATTTTCCCCTTAGGATAGATACCAATTTTAAAAGGAAATTTTTCACTTGTATATGACCACTAATTAAACTTCATGGTAATGTTGTGCAAAGATCTCTGAATCCTGCATCAGGGAGTCTCAATAATTTAAGCTATGAACAAAATTTTACTATGCCTTGTCTCAGCAAACACCACTACAATGTTCAGGTGCTCAAAGATATCTAATCTCACTGCCCTACTTAGTATACCTCTCCTGCGCAACTCCACCTCTCAGTCACTTCTACCACATTACCCTGGCTTATTTTCTTCATAGCACTGATCACTATCTAAATTCACTGCCCTATATATATTTATTTGTTTTCTGCATCAGAACATTAGCCCTACGAGGACAGAGACCCTTTCTTTCTTACCTACCATTGTAACTCCAATAGCTTCTAGCAAGTAGTAGATATCAAAAAGTAATTGTCAAGTCTAATGCATAATTTAAGCCACCATTCTTCTGATCCAGTAGATACTCTGTTCTTTCTTCAAAGTCCTAGGCTTCATTATTACAAGCTTATAAAGCAGCCAAGGGAAGTTGCTGGTACATAGTATAGTATTAGTTTTTTTTTAAATATCCAAGAAGTGGCCCTGGCTGGGTAGCTCAATTGATTGGAGCATCATGATGATACACAACATTGTGGGTTCGATCCCTAGTCAGGGCACATACAAGAATCAACCAATGAATGCATAAATGGGTGGAACAACAAAATGATGTTTTTCTCTTTCTCTTGAACTCTCACTTGTTCTCTCTCCCTCAAATTCAATAAATAAAATAAAATTAAAAATATCCCAGAATTATATCCAGGGTTATATCTGGAAATAAACATTCAGATCCTAGGTGTTCTAGGAATAGGATACATGAAGAAGGCATAGATTCTACCTAGAAGACTCTAAACGTAGCTTAGTGGGAACTGAGAAAGTGGAAAAGCAAGCTTGTACACAAAGTACAATGTAATAAAATTTGCCAGTACCTGGTATTCCAAGTCAGTCTTTGGAATATAAATCCTAGAACTATAGAGCTAAGAGATAACTTTCAGGGCCATACACACTGAGCATTTGATGATGTCCACTGTTTCTGTCCCATGAAAACAAAATTTTGAGGCCCATTTCCAAGTATAACAGAAAGGAAATTAAATTTCTTCCATATGTCATTGAAAAAAAAGGACAAAATTAAAACTAATGGAATAAAATACCTAGGAATAAACCTAACCAAGAATGTAAAAGACCTGTTTTAAGAACATTTTAAGACACTGAAGAAAGAAATAGAAGATACAAATAAGATGAAGTTGAAACACATACCATGTTCATGGATAGGAAGAATTAACATACTACCCAAAGCAATCTACATATTCAACACAATACTATCAAGATTCCAAAGACATATTTCAGAAAACTAGAACAAATATTTCAAAAATTTATGTGGAACTACAAAAGGCTCCAAATAGCAACAGTAGCCCTGAGGAAAAAAAACAAAATTGGAAGAATTGCACTATCTAATATGAAACTAAACAATAAGGCCATACTAATCAAAACAGCATGGTACTGGCATAAAAACAGGCTATAGGTCAATGGGACAGAATAGAGAGCTCAGAAATTTATCCACACCTTTAAGTCAATTAATACCCTACAGAGGAACCAAACACATACAATGGTATAAAAATAATTTATTCAATAAATGGTGCTGGGAATGTTGGACAGATCTATGCACAAAAATGAAACTAGACCACATCCTTACACCACACACAAGAATAAATTCGAAATGGATTAAAGACCTAAATGTTAGACCCAAAACCATAAAAATCATAGAAGAAAACAAAGGCAGCAAAAATCTCAGGCATTGCTTGGAGAAATTTTCTATCAGATATATCTTCCCAGGCAAGGGAAACAAGAGAAAAGAAAAACAAATGGGACTACATCAAACTAAAAAGGAAAACATCAGAAAATAAGTAAATAAAAAGACAACCCACAGAATGGAAGAACATATTCACCAATACATCAGATAAGGGGTTAATATCTGAAATTTATAAAGAACCTATTAAACTCAACACCATGGGAAGAGAGAATTAAAAGTAGAAGGTGGAGGATGGGTAGGGCAGGGGAGAGAGATGGGGGAAAATGGGGACAACTGTGATTAACAAAATAAAAAAGTTCAATAATTAAAATAAAAATCTGGATGCACCAAATAAAATACCACCAGAAATTTAAAAATAAATAAAAAAATAAAAATAAAAACACCTCAGTTAAAAATTGGGCAAAGGAACTGAATAGACACGATGCCAAAGAGGACATACAGATGGCCAATAGACTTATAAAAAGATGTGCAATGTCATTAATCATCAGAGAAATACAAATTTTAACCACAGTGAGATGTCATCTCACACCTGTCAGAATGGCTATCATCAATAAATTAATAAACAACAAGTGCTGGTGAGGATGTAGAGAAAGGGGGACCCTCTGCATTACTGTGGGAATGTAGGTTGGTATAGCCACTGTAGAAAGCAGTATGGAAATACCTGAAAAATATTAAAAATGGATCTGCCTTTTGACCCAGCAATCCTATTTCTGGGAATATATCCGATGGAACCCAGAACACTAATTTTGAAGAACATAAGCACACCTATGTTCATTGCAGCATTATTTACAATTGCCAAGATATGGAAATAACCAAAGTGTCCATTAATAAATAAGTGAATAAAACAACTATGGGATGTTTACATAATGGAATACTACTCGACCATAAAAAAGAAAAAAAGCTTTACCCTTTGCAATAGCATGGAGGGACCTGGAGAATATTATGCGAAGTGAAATAAGCCAGTCAGAAAGAGACAAATACCATATGATTTCACTCATATGTGGAAGCTAATGAACAAACTGAACTAACAAGCAAAATTGAAACAGACTCATAGATGGAAAATAGGATGACAGCTAAGAGGAGTAGGGCAGGAGGTAGAGGGGTTGAACAAAAAGGAAAAAGGACTCATGGACATGGGTAATAGTGTGGTGATTGTTGGTGGGGAAGGGTGTATAGGGGACTAAATGGTAATGGAAAAAATACAATAAAATTTTTTTAAAAGACTAATGGAAGAAGGCAAATAAAGACTTTGCTCCATTTAAGGACCTAAAAAGACACTTCTCCAAGGAGGACATACGGGGGGCCCAGAGACATAGGAAAGGATGCTCAGCATCACTAGTCATCAGAAAGATGCATATTAAAACCACAATGAGATACCACTTCACACAGGTCAGAATGGCCATCATAAATAAATCAAAAAACAGCAAGTGCTAGCAAGGCTGTGGAGAAAAGGGAACACTAGTGCACTGTTGGTGGGAATGCAGACTGGTGCAGCCACTGTGGAAAACATATGGAATTTTTCATAAAACTAAAGATGGAACTGCCTTTGACCTGGCAATTCCACTGCTGGGTTTATACTCTAAGAATCCTGAAACACCAATTCAAAAGAACCTATGCACCCCAATGTTGATAGCAGCACAACTTACAACAGCCAAGTGCTGGAAGTAACCTAAGTGCCCATTAGTGAATGAGTGGATCAAAAAACCATGGTACATTTACACAATGAAATACTATGTAGCAGAAGGAAAAAGGGAGCTCATACCCTTCTTGACAGCATGGATGAAACTGGAGAGCATTATGCTAAATGACATAAGCCAGTTGGTGAAAGACAAATACCATATGATCTCACCTATAAGTGGAACCTAATCAACATAACAAACAAGTGAGCAAAAAAGAGCCAGAGACATGGAAATAAAAAACAAACCGACAGTAATCAAAGGGGAGGAACGAGGGATCACAGGGGAAGAAAAGGGATGAGTCCAGCCGAGGAACACGTATAAAGGATCTATGGACAAAAACAACATGGGGATGCAAAGTGGAAGGTGGGGGGGTGGAAAGTGAGGGGTGGGTAGGGCGGGGAAGAGTAATGGGGGAAAAATGGGGACAACTATAATTGAACAATAAAAAATAAAAATAATAAAAAAATGATTTTACTCCATTTAACTGCTCCAACAATTAAAATTCTACCAAAATCATGGGCTTATTTAGGTAGTAGTAAGGATTCTATCCCAAGAAAAGGACAAACAGAGAATGGAATTACACTTTTCAAAAATATTTTTGAGGAGAGCCAGGAAGCAGATTGTAAATTGAATTAGATAACCTTCTAAGCCCTTCACAATGCTAAGATTCTGTTTTAATTTGTATATCAACAAAGTCTATTCAGATCATTTAATAGTTAAAAATGCCTCCGGTGCCAGTTACTGGAAACCAAAAGATAAATATTACATGTCTAGTATTAAAACATAGCCTTAACTCCTACCATATTACCTCTGCTGGTTCACACGTATACATCACGTCACGACTCAGCTGCTTGGTGTTTGCAGGATGATGGGCCATTCTGGTCACCACATGGAAATCAATTGTTTCTTTGTGGTTTACTGCAGTGGTAGCTCCAAGATACACAGTGGAGCTGGCGTGTGGTTTTGGGGTCACAGTCCTGCTGGTGGTGATTCTCATTGTTGTTTACCATGTTTACTGGCTGGAGATGGTCCTATTTTACCGAGCACATTTTGGAACAGACGAAACCGTTCTAGGTGAGTAATGGAAGTTTGATGTAAATCTCCTCTATTGTCACCTTTAGAAAACATTTTAGCTCAATAAAATGTAGATTTATTGGAAGATTTAATTAGGCTACCTTTTGTTTTAGCACTTACTATTGAAAATATGTCTAACACATTATTTTCAATATGGGATTTAATCCAGATGGCATTGTCCAAAAAGAAAGTAAAAAATTTTATAATATATCTTTTTAACTTAATATGTTAAAATGTTAACATTTTAGCTTGTAATTAATATTAAGTCAATCAAGATATTTTAATCTTATTTTTGGTATTAAAACTCTTCAAAATTCAGTATGTATTGTCCTTACAGCATATGTCAGTTCAGACTAGCTGCATTCCAAGTGCTCAATAGCCACTCTATGGACTCAGGGTGACCCATATACAGAAGCATTAGAATCACATAGGAATTTATTAAAAGCAGAATCTTAAGCCAAACCCTTATTTTGAATTAGAATAGTATTTAAACAATATTTCTAAGTTGTTCATGTACTCATTAAAGTTTAAGAAGCTTGGTTCTTGTGTGTAATTTCCTAGTGACAAGAATGGAACACTTAAATAAATAGATTCTTAGACCTGTCACATAAAGATTCTCATTCATTAGGTATGTGGAAGAGACGCAAAGAACCCATGTTTTTAATGAGAGGTGATTTTAATAATTAGGCAACTTTGGGAAAGGTTGGTTTATTGACTATAAATATGTTTTTAATTATAGCTATTTTCAGATATAAACTAGACTATCTCTAAAAGGTTTGTTCATTTATAATTGTAATATATTAGTGAGTGACATAATAAGACAGTAGAAATATCCTGCATGGTATTAATTACCAGCACCTATTATTGATTATTTGCTTCCTGATTCTGTTAATCCACAGTCAAATAAACCAAACCTCTCTTGTTTCTACCATAGAAACTGAACTCAGTGAGATGAGAGTAGAAGACACATCAAATAAAATTTGCAATTACACCTTGAAATAGTCATTGTGCCAGAAGACCTGTCTCAAGTGGGAAACCACACTGAAATCTGTCAGATAATTCATACATAAAAAAATGAGAATGTCTAATTTAAAATTTTTACTTTAAGAAAAATATGCAATACTATTGAGAAACTTTCCTAACTTTTATTGGATCTGTGTTCCTTTTCTCTAGATGGGAAGGAATATGATATTTATGTATCCTATGCAAGGAATGCTGAAGAAGAAGAATTTGTATTACTGACCCTCCGTGGAGTTTTGGAGAATGAATTTGGATACAAGCTTTGCATCTTTGACCGAGACAGTCTGCCTGGGGGAAGTAGGTATTTCAGACGAGTACAAGCAACGTTACCTTGAAAGGCAAAAGGGATCATTAGCTTTGGATCATGGATGAAAATCATGGTACAGCTCTATGTTGGTGTCTTTGGACTTTTGATGTCCAATTATCTGATGTAATAGACAAGGACTCTCTAGTAATAAAAATACACTGTAAGATGTAGACTGTTTAAATACAGTTGATAGTAGGAAATAGTTTCCCTTGTAAGCTTTAAAAACTCAATGTCAGAAAAATTTGGATACACAGTGGATTAGAACTCTATAAAATGTCATAGCATTAAACATCCTTTTTACTCACATATAGATTTTTAGAAGGTTTAGCTCATCTACATTAATTTGCCAAGAATTTTTTCTACATAGACTGAATTTAAGCAAAACATTTTTACAAAGACAGAGGTTTACTCAATTTTACTAAAAATGAGTTGCTGAAGACAGTACATGGAGTTTTTTTTAAATTACTCACTAATAATAATTAGAATATTTCCCTTTGGCATTTGCTAATTTCCTTTTCCTCACTTTTTTTCCTAGCAAATTAACGCCACTCAATTTCTTCTTTCTCTTAGGTCAGTTTCTTCCTTTCCAACGGCATACATGTTTGAGATATAGTTTTAAATTTTACAAAGTCCAGTGTATTCTATTGAATAATAGGTTAAAAAGAAAGAAGCTAGAATTGCTGAATGTTTTAACATAAAAGTACATCTCTAATTTTCAGGTCCACACTGTAACATACAAAGCGATGGCCCAATCGAATCTGTTTTATAAATACATGGTAGCATTCCTACACTCACTGTTAATCTTCATACTTTTGAAATGCATGTGATGTCTCTAACCTTCAGCACAACAAACTAATTTTCTTCCCCTAAAATACTGTTTGCATTAATCACTAATCACTTAACATGTTTTTTTTTTTTTTAAATACTATACGGATCATTGTAAATAGCCGAAATTGAATTCTAATCCAGAATAGATTTAATTGTTTATTCTAATGTTGAATTAGCTGGATCACTTATCTCCCCAATCATCACCTAAGAGTCTCTCTTGCTTATGTTCTGCAGTGGATATCCCCTTCAGTAGAATTTTGCCAGGAAATGATGACTTGATTATGTACTTAAAGGATACATTCCACTCATTTTAAGACTTAAAATCCTAAATTATTTATTCACCATTTGTTCATTTATGCAGCTATTCAACAAATCTTTATCTAGTGTATGGAAATTATACAAAGATTTACAGCATAACAGCATGTAAGACCCTCCAATAGGGGCTGATAGTTCTTTGAAGAATTCAAGTTCCACATAATTACTCTTGCATCCTGCTTTGATGTTTGATCCTTGAGTTCTCCCTGCTCTTCTTCCTGGGTCCTCTTTGCCGCTGGGTCTCTTTCTATGCTTACACACAGTCAGCTTCCAACAACATTTCTTGGAATAGATAATTACTTGTTGCTGGATTCTGCTCCAGGCTGCACACACTTATTTTAATTGCAAGTGTTCCCCCACTGCCTCTGTATCTGTGAAGTTTAAGGAGCAAAACGATGGCTTAGGCAAGTATGGTAAGTAACGAAATAGCTTCACACAACACTATTTCCTGGATTTGGCTCCTATCTGAACCTCTCAATAAAGGCTTAAACAGTCTCTGATAAGCAACCTAGAGATGGATTATTCCCAAGAATTTTCTGACAGGAACTAATCAAAGCCCTTGACAACAGAATGAAATTAAGGTGCATTTCCATTTCCCTTATTCTTTCTTCTTTTCTGACCTGAAGAAAGCATGGTGGTGAAGGCAGACAGATCATCCAGCAGCTGCTGAAACACATGGCTTCATCATAATGATCGGAGTTTAGGGAGAAAGATCCAGGGATTAATTTAGCTTTCTGAGTAGAGATCAGAATAGAAAGCTGAGCTGAGAATGTGATGCCAGCCAAAATGCCATTAAGTTAGCTAGATGGTTTTTAAGTTTCCATTTCAAATACATTCTAGTCAGAAAGTGCCTGGTAACAGAGAGGGACTTTCAAAAAAAATGAAGATTCTTGCTCTTGCTGTTCTGTGTTTGTGAAAAATATTTTTTCTATGATTTTGACATATATATAAAATGAATGCCCACTGGCCCTAGAGAGTTGATACATGGGCATCTTTGGGGAGAAACGGCTGAGGGTCTGCTTTAGATGGGACACAACATGCCACACAATTTGGAGAAATTTATCTCAATACAACCCTCTCATTCCTTAATATCCCAAATGATTCTTTTGAAGACCAATGTTATAGAAGCACATTTTGGCTTCAGTCCTGTGTGGCATTATTTTTTGGGTTAGAACATGTGCATGTAATTACTATCTTCCTGAGGAGAGTGGCATTTAGTGAACTGAGTGAAAGGATCTAATGATTAAGTTGTACAGAGTGTTTGTGGTCAAAAGTTTCACCTCAACTCTCAGGCTGATATCCTAAGTTCCCCACACTTGCTCCTCAAACCCCATGCTTCTGGGGAATTCTTGGCCAACACTAATCCCCCTGGTGTTTTCTTTCCCAGTTGTCACAGATGAGACCTTGAGCTTCATTCAGAAAAGCAGACGTCTCCTGGTTGTCCTAAGCCCCAACTACGTGCTCCAGGGAACCCAAGCCCTCCTGGAGCTCAAGGCTGGCCTAGAAAACATGGCCTCTCGGGGAAACATCAGCGTCATTTTAGTGCAGTACAAAGCTGTGAAGGAGATGAAGGTGAAAGAGCTGAAGAGGGCTAAGGCGGTGCTCACGGTCATTAAATGGAAAGGGGAGAAATCCAAGTATCCACATGGCAGGTTCTGGAAGCAGTTGCAGGTGGCCATGCCCGTGAAGAAAAGTTCCAGGTGGTCTAGAAGTGGCGAACAGGGTCTCTCCTATTCATCCTTGAAAAATGTATGAAAGGGACAATGAAAGGGGTAAACAGATACAAGGGTATTCGGGGAAGAAAGTCCCTCCTTCTTTGTACCCAATTTATTGTTTCATGGACAGAAAACCATTCTATGGAAGCCTTCCCATAGAGGTAAATTCAGGGTGATGGTGTGACTAGCTGTTCTGTTTCCTCAGGCAACACTAAGATTCAGAATGATTGGGCCACCAGTCTGTCACCAATCTCTGATGTCACTGTGTTCTTTGCAGGCAAAGACTTGGTTGACATAATTTTTTTCTTCTGCATCTTCTCTCCCTGTTATTACATTGTCTGTTATGTCTCTATTCTCTCTCTCTCTCTCTCTCTCTCTCTCTCTCTCTCTCTGTCATTTTAACATTATGGGGCAGCCTTTGGCACTGGACTGAAAGACCCCTTAAAGATAAGCCATCTGTAAACAGGGTCATGAGTTTCTAAGTATAGTTTTCTTTTTCTTTTATTGTTACTCATCCATTAAAAAGATAATCAGGGTCTAAATTTACTTTAGCTGAGGATAATGAGCTCTTTTGCTCATTCTGCTGTACCACACAACATCACACACAACAAGACTAACACCCACTTAGACTAATCCCCTGAGAATGTTCCGTATTACTGAAGTATTACGGAAAGTGTTCCTTATGATTGATTTAAAGGGCTTGCCTGCATTTTCTCCTATACCTCCTGTGCCTTCTATCTCAGGTAATTGGTGTTATATTTGTCAACTTGAAAATATAATGTTTTTTATTATAGTAAACTTCTGAGTATCTCTAGGTCAACCCATAATTATTATCCCATCTTCCCTCTCTACTGTAACTTGTTTGTGTCAGTCACTCAAGAGTTTACAGGTGGCTCTACACTTGCTTCAGTCTAGTAGGAAACTTCTCTAATGGTGTTAATAGAGTAAAATAATGCTTTTAGGGCATTTTCTGGCTTATGAGAAAATAGCAGAACTAGGTGTTTGGACATTTGCCTTTCAATCTCAGCCTTACTCATGTGAATATTAGGAAAGTGATTTCCCCTCATTTGTTTCTGTGTCCCCATTGTAAAGCATTGAAGTTAGAGTCAGTGACCTTAAGAGCTCCTTTTAGCATTAATCTAAGAGAATTAACTGGACCTATAGTATTTTTCCTATTTCATTCACTGCTACAGTTAAAACACTTACTCCAAACAGGTCAGCTGAAAAGTCATTGTCAATGTAACTTGTTTTAGTTTGTTTTTAGTAAAATGTCACTGTTTTTGAGAATTGGAAAAGTGAAAACTAAGCCCACAGTTTACAGAGTGATAATTATCTATCGCATATGTGTGTACAAATTACATGTATGTTTATGTATATTACATATAGACACACATGAATTATATATGTATATATACACACATATACATAATTGAATGATATTTGTGTGTGTGTATAGACACCCATATACACATGCACATGACTTTAACTAGTCACTAGCACAGCATTACAAACTCTTGTCCAGTCTTTGCATTATGTTTCTACTGAAATGCTTTTGGGTCAGTGTTTTCCATGCATTAATGTTATTTGTGAATTCACAGGTCACAGAGAGGTAGCTGTTGTTAGTCCATGCCTTCCGTAAATAAGTATAAATAACTTACTGCTGCTACAGTTGATCTGGGGTCTACTGTGCACGGAGTTTCCATGGTCACTGCTAAGCAGTAGCCAGTCCTCTGGCATTCGCTGATCATTTCCTATGTCCTGGACACACACGCTTAAAAACTAAGCTGTGTGACTCTCAATGTTCAACTACTGGAGAAATCTCTATTTGGACTGTAGAGTTATAAAGTGCCTATAAATGAGCCTGAGTATCCTATGAAACACCATAACCCATAACTGAAGGAAACCCTTATCCTGTAGTATGTTGTTAAGCAATTCTAAAACTCCCTCCTATATTTAAAAGTCCTTCAGCAGTAATAAAGTACATAATATATCATTTCTTTACAGAGGGTCATTGATCATTTTAAATTGAATATAAGCGTGCATTCTTGACTATAAAACTGTTCTAGACGTCATTCTTGGATCTAACATTTTTAGCTTCATCAATGCTTTTTCTTGTTACAAACCACAATTACTCCTCCTAACTGTCCTTCATTCACAAGACCAGAGGAAACCTGACTCCAGATAATGTCTGTATATCAAATTCTTGCATCAGCTTTAGGTAAATGGGGGCAGGCCCATCACCATGGGTCCATTCTTTTTGCACTTTTGGATCCATATTTATCCCAAATGCTGTCGAGTGTCCCTAGAAACTTCTAGACCTTTTTTTCCTATTTATATTCTTATCTTTGGTACTGAACTTTTCCAAATGCTAAAATCTAAAGCATCTCAAATTGACATAATATGTCTCATTTTAAGAGTAATTTTTTCAAGATACTTTGTTTATGTCCCAGAAGATGCCTAATATGGAATATTTGAGGGAGATGGAGAAACATAATTTAGAGAGCAGAAATAAGTTGTCTCTCATGTTAAAAAAGAAATCTCTAAAGTTAAAAAAAAAACCTAATGTTTGAGATATGTAATATAAAGACCTTCTACACCCAAGTTAACAAAGACCTATGACATATAGCGTGTTTAATTACACAATCATTGTGTACACAAAATTTATTTAATTTTCTTCTGTACTGTAACTTAGATGATTCCCTAGGATTCTAATAAAAAAATCATTCCTTTGTACTGGGGAACAAAAGCATCACTCCTCTGTTAATTATCCATTTTCTTTCCATAGGTTTTAATATTTTAAGGTTATCTTTTTTATTTTCTTCATAAACTTTTGTATTTTCCATTTTTCATTTGATTTGTAAATTTATTTTAAAAATAAACCATTTATTTTCAGCTTTGAATTTTATTTTGTGCATGTGTTTTATGTCTTTATTTTCATGTTTGGGCATAAGAAATACAAATAAAAAGGAAAATACATATAAAAATGTTATGTTACACCACTGGTTGTTTCTCTTTTTGAGAGAAATATGAAAGAAAATGGGAACTTCATCTCAAGAACATTTTCTTTACATTTGAGTAAAAGGTTTACTTAAGTAAAATGGATTGCTGTAGAATACCAGGGTGTGTGTGTGTGTGTGTGTGTGTGTGTGTGTATGTGTGTTTAGGTAGCCAGAAAGACAGACAGAGGTACAGAGCGGGAGGGAGGGACAAAAAGAGAGAAATCTTTTTAAACAAAGACACAGCCTGTTCCTTTTTGTTTAACCTGGAACTAAGACAGCTTACAGGAATCTCTTACCTTGTATAGGCTTTAATGCAACCCCAAGGCAGTCACATTGGAATGCAATCAATTAACTAATAACTTGAATTTAGTTAATAGAGGATAATTTGCGTACATTAATAAAAAATGCATTCCTATCACAAATTTAATATAAATCAGGCAGATATTTGGAAATGCATTTTCTTTTGTATATTAAATTTATAATGACAGGGAAGCCTTCTTGCTTAAGTTTTTTCTATTCACATATTTTAAGAATATTTATTGATTTTCTATAACTGAACTGGTTTGATTAGTAAAAATTTTCCTACTGCAATTTTTTTTTTTTTTTACTTTCGAGGCCATCTCCAAAGAGCAGATTTAGGATCAATGGATGAGGATTATATGGAAACAGATTTCTACTCAATTAGGAACTAATTAGATTAGTTAGATGACTCTTACTAAGATTTTGTATATGGGCTTTCCACATTGAACTTCAGAGTTTCTTCCAACTCTGGATGTATTAAATTACCTCCTAGAACATAGTGGTGACAATTTAGTTTTGATAACAACAGTTTCAGTATCAGTAGTTTGGTCATCGCAGTTACCTGTCTATTACTGACCTTGTTAAAATGCTCAATACTTTCTTTAGTCATTCACTGATGTCACTAGGCCTTTGATGCCAGTAAAGTCACAGTATGATAGAAGAGACATATTCAACAACTAGTCTGTCTTATTTCTCTGAAGTATTTTTAGTAATGGGCAAGAAGATTAAATGTTTCAGCGATATTTTTTATTTGCATGTATTTTAAACTGAAAAGACAGAATTTTTAAAACTTATGACACATAAATTCACATATTAAGATGATTCTCTAAAGTCGCAAAAAATGACTCAGTTTCAATCAACACGAGTCCATACTTTATTTTAATATTGTGTTTGGTATTCATTTATCCATTTAGGTATCTCTAATCTGTTTAACAACCTTCAAAATTTTCTCTCATATGTATTTGATAGATGGATAAATTTGGACTTAAATATATTAAGATTAAAAACAGAGACAAATGGAGAAACCAATATTTGAATTCAGGTCTATCTTCCAAATTAGGTGTCACACTTTATTTTTTTACTGCACTTCAAGTTTTGAGAAAGAGAGAGAGGCAGGCTTGCTGCTCTTTCATACACCAATAACCCAGCCAAAGAACAAAATTGCAGCCCTAGTTTAATTATAGGGGGATTTCAGAGAGGCCATGAATTTTATTTTTTTTCTTTTTTTTGTTTTTTTACTGTTGTTCAATTACAGTTCTCCTGAGGCTATGAATTTTAAAGGCAGGAGTATTCTTCCTTGAAGAGTTCTAAACCAGAAAGTGAGTTGAAAACCAATTTAGAATATATAACACAAGAAAATGGCCGCATCATTCTATGGCCACACATCTTTTTTTTTTTTTTTTTTTTTTTTGAGCCAAATAAGGAAGATCTAATTTACAACTACCTCTCCAAATAATCTTCAGTATTAAAATCATAATAAATTGCAACCTCAGATATAAAGTTTTGACAATATGTAAGACATTAAAACATTCCATAAAGGATATGGCTTCTTTCAAAGTACTTTTTGAAGGTCCCCGCCAGAGAAGCATCCCTACATTTATTCCTCAAAGTCTGGGATTTCACCATACATATCTGTTTATTTAGCATCGACCTCTCTCAAATACCAGTCCAGGTAAAATATTAATATTTTTTTAAAAGCCACAACCTCCTTTTTAGAGGATCTAGGATCCTGTTTTTTGGGCTGATTTTTCCCCCCAACAATGATATCCCCAGAGGCTATTTTAAAGAAAAACACACACAAACACAATTTGAGTGCACAATTTCCTTGTAATGAAAAACTAACCGTGTTGTTTTAAAGGTTTATTGTATCTATCATGAGACAGGGGAAGCAGTAGACTTCCTACTCTCACATTCTCAGGTTTATGAAAGACAGCTACATAAGATTCCAAGCAGGACTAGACAGAACAAAGGACTTTATAAAACATGTGCGAACACTCACACAGGCTTTGAAGATTAGTGAAAATTTAGATTTCTCTTTTAAAATTGAAATAAGAATTACCTAAAACACTCTGCTATCTTGATAAAACCAGTTAAAAGTGCTTAAAAATTATTCTTCCAATTTCCCTTCAAAATCATGTTAAATTCACTAATTGGAAAGAGCTAATCTGATAAGGAACATATCTCCTTCAGACTTGTCAAATTAATAATGATCAATTTCACTACAAACTTTCAGCTTGTCTTTACAGGACAAAAAGTCTCTAGGGCACTATCTCACCTCTAACCCCAAAAGCGTAGGTGCTCAACCTCATGGTGTGTCTGTAGCACCTGTATTCAGAGTTGTCAATGGCTGTCATTTATATATTTGGAATTCTTTTCCTTCAGAAAATAACATTGTTTAAGATCTTAAATCAAACAGAGAACTAAGCACTGCATTTACCTCAAGAACTTTCCCATTGGGATCTAATTTCACCTCAGTAACTATTAGAATTGAATGTTTTGCCAGAAGTCTTAGTTAATTGACTGATTCTTGTCAATGTTTTCATCCCTTTAATTATTGTTAAACCATATCTTGACACAGAGACACATACACATGAAAGAAAGGAATTTGGGTTGACAACAAGCTCAATAGTATAAACTGTCTGATGCTGTATCCAAAAATTTTAATTATCAAGAGATAACTGTGTAAATGTTAGAAGATGGTAATTCCCGATTGCTCTTTGCTGATCACTCTATGTCTAGAGCATTATGTTTAGTCTTGTTCAGGATACTACTCTTAAGAAACACATATATAAACTGAATATTATATACAGGAAAATAATAAAAGTAGGGAAGGGACTTGATACCATGTCATATAGGTAATAAAAATCTTGAATTTATTTAATCTAGAGATGAGAAGCAGAAGCAGTGAGATCAAAATAGTTACAAAATATTTCAAATATTTAAGGATGTAGATCTAGTACCATCATATAAAATGATAGGGAATAATAGGGAATAATATTTCAAACCAAGAAATAATTTACAAACAGAGCTGAAATTAGCTGCTAATTTCAGAGGTGGTTAATTTCTCCTCCTTGAAAGTTTATTCATTGCCTTCCCTTTGTATGAGAAACAATGATGAGCTGAAACTTACATAAGTTTCCACTAGGCATTATCCTATCTTTCCATTTTCCTGTAGATACAGTGGAAGCAGTTTTTGACTTCATTCAGAGGAGCCGAAGGATGATTGTTGTACTGAGCCCAGACTATGTGACAGAAAAGAGCATCAGCATGCTGGAATTTAAACTGGGTGTTATGTGCCAGAATTCCATTGCTACCAAGCTCATTGTGGTGGAGTATCGTCCCCTTGAGCATCCACACCCAGGCATCCTGCAGCTGAAGGAGTCTGTGTCTTTTGTGAGCTGGAAGGGAGAAAAATCCAAACATGCTGGCTCTAAATTCTGGAAGGCATTGCGGTTGGCTCTTCCCCTGAGAAGCCTGAGTGCTAGCTCTGGCTGGAATGAGAGCTGTTCTTCTCAGTCTGACATCAGTCTGGACCATGTTCAAAGGAGGAGAAGTCGTTTGAAAGAGCCTCCAGAACTCCAGAGCTCAGGGAGGGCTGCGGGTACCTCTCCAGCCTCAGGCACGATGTCTAAGCACAGAGGAAAGCCTTCTGCAGCCTGTCGCTGCTGTGTCACCTACTGTGGAGGAGAGAGTCACCTTAGGAGCAAGAGCCGGGCAGAGATCCATACCCAGCCCCAGTGGGAGACACACCTCTGTAAGCCTGTTCCCCAAGAATCAGAAACTCAATGGATACAAAATGGTGCCAGATTGGAAACCCCTGCTCCCCAGATCGCAGCCCTTACTCTTCACCATTTCACGGATTTATCTAATAACAATGACTTTTATATCCTATAATTATAATGTGGTGGGTGGTGGCTTCTGTCTCTACCAGCCCTCTTTCGACCATGAACCTATGGGAATAATTGACATTTTTATCATCTAGTGGACTAACAGATTGTGTCCCCTTTATTGATTTTAAAAACTATTTATTTCTAGGAGACAAAAGACCTGAAGGACCTGCATCCAGAATTATTGCCTCTAATGGCCTCAGAAGAGCACACTCTTCTTGGCCCCTAGAAGGTCAGTATGTGCAAGTCACCTAAAGTCTGATCCTCTCTCTTGCTCAATGATTTAAAACTGAGCAAAGAATTTAAGTGCTGGGGGGTTTTTTGTTGTTTTTTTTTTAGTTTGTTGATCAACTTCATGCTCTGAGGCAGTCAGGTGTACTTGGGCTATGACACTTACAGGGTATATATATCCCAAGGGAACATTATGGAAAGGAGTTTGTTCTAGTGGATGCTGTAGGACTAAGATCAACAGAAAGCCTGCAGCACATTTTCCCTGGGAGACCAAACTGACCCATACAGGGATACATGGTGTCCCCTGTCTCACTGTAAACTAGTGTTCTCTAACCTGCCTAAAGTTGTTAGCATCAATAAAATTATATTTTCATGTGATTTCATTTGTACTAACAAATTTTTACCCTTCTCTCTCTTTTCTACCTTTTACGGCTTTCAAATTCATATCTGAAGAGTATTCCATTTCAGGAAAACAAGCTTTGGTTCAGGAATTAGGAAAGATAAGATGTCCCTTTAGTTTCTTTCTAATGCATATTAAGAGATATCTGAGAAAGGACCAAAAGAAAGTGAAAAAATGTTTCAAATAAAATAGAAGTTTACACAAAAATCTCATATTTTTAGAACCGACAGCAGAAAAATTCAGTATTGTGAGGGGTATAGTGTAGAGTTTTGTGCATGAATCCCTTCTTCCCACTTAAGATTCTGAGAAGGGATCATCAACTTAAGTGCCTGCAAGAATTAGGAAATGAGAAAAAGAAAAAGAAAAAGAAAAAGGAGGCCATAAACTGTACAAGCATAATATACACACTTTTCATGTAGGGCTCATGTGTATAGGGACATAGGTACAGTTACCTACTTCTTCTCTCTAAACAAGTCAGCACAGTCATAGAAGACAATGGCATTTGACCTCCCAGTCAGGGAGATTATAGAGATGAATGGGTTCTGTAGGTAACTGAAAATATTTATTACTTTCAAAAAGGAGCAGCCTCTACTGAACTCCATCTTGATTTTATCATCAATTTAGCCACACTGTTGGCAGATAGGTCAGTGTTTAAGAAGAATCTAAAAATTAGATTTTTATGTAATCTCTCAATTATGAGATGGCTTAAACTTAAATATAAGAGAGAAAGAAAGATAAGAACCAAATTCATGAACACATATTCAACCCAAGGGCAGCTAGTTTGTCATTTCAGAACTAGAATATTTATTTAAACAACATAAGTCCAAATGCAGATTCACATGTCCCTGGCAATATTGAGATGGCAGAAGAGAAGGAAATAATGGGAGATGTTTATTCCCATTCTAAATGGAAGACATCTGAACACTCACAATAGGGCAGATTTGACCTAACACTCCATTAGAGTAGAAAAAGCTGAAAACAGTGTGCCTTTCACCTACTCTGTAGAGCTTTCCTGTCTGGTGGGTACTACAAGAAAAATTAGGAGTACAATCTATTCTTTTTGAACAGAAACAAAATAAAAAGAGCTAAAGACCATACCAGACATGGGCAGTCAATATATTAGTCTAGGCTGCTGCTGAGTTATGGCCCAATGAAGGTCAGCCTCTCACAGTCTCTTATTGTGAATGAGGGGGCGGAGAAAGAAACCAGAAGTTTTATGTCACTACTTCTCTTGAAGAGAAAAGAAGACCCCTTTTCTGTTGAAACAAGGAACTATTAGGTCATTTTCTTGTTAAAACGAAAATATGAAATAATAAGGACCCTCCAGAGTAAATGTGACTCATCATGCAATCTCTAATAAGAAATGACAAGCCACCCTATCTAAATGCCAGGAAGAAATGATTGAACACAACCCATGTTTTATGTTGTATTCCTTCTTGAAGTGATTAAACCATCTTTGAAGTATGTTCAAGAATCTTCACTTGGAAAAGGCAGTTTCTCTCCAAATCTGCTAATGAAAGTTATTCAATATCCTCAGAAGAAAGAGAATGTTTTTGCCCATAGTCATTCTTACCCCTGAATTATTTTAATAAGGAAAAATAAATGAAAGGATTTTTGACAGAGGTGTAAAAATGAAACATGAACTCTTATTATAAGTAAGTAGTGAAACAATTGTGGTGTTCTCAACATAAGTACAGTGTAAGCAGTATAAAGTCTTGTTTTTTGGCATTAGCTGTACAGGGACCAGAAAAATAATAGACCATACTCTTGTTGCATGGAAAAGGCTAAGAGTTTATGTTATTAGTCCCTAACCCAGCATTCTGCAGTTGAGTGGAATACTCGGTGCCACATATTCCAGTAAGGCAGAGGATAATAAGAAAATTTTATCATGGGCCATGTATATTTATAATTGAAATAATAGGATTGTAAGTTAAATAGATATTATTTACATAGGAATATTACCAATTTGGGAACACAAGTTTTAAGTCAAGTAGAGATGAAAGTGAGTTCTGCTTCTTGCCTGTTTGATCATATCCTATCTAAACCTCAATCTCTTGCTAGCTAAAATAAGGATAATATTGTTACGTTCACTGGGTTTGTGGACATTAAAAATATATAATGCATGTAAGTGCTTAGCACAGTACCTGGCACATTATAATTGCTAAGTGTTGCCCAGTACTATAACCATAGTAAAATCACTTTTTATAGTTGCATAAGCTTGCCTTTATATAATAATCTATGCCTAAGAAATTGATTTTATATACATCACTGTTTTTTGACTCTAACAAAATCCACCAAAGAAGTACAGAGCAGGAACATATTATCCAAGTTATGTGATTTTTTTACTGACACTTGGGCAATTAGTGATAGGGTTGAGCCTCTAATCTAGGCATATTACACCTGATCCAGTGCCAATTCTAGAATTATTCCTGTAAGATTCCAGTGGAATTATTTCTATTACAAAACCATCTAATTATAACTATTTAATCTGAACTGTTTTTTTTATTTTAATGAAAATAAAATAAAAAAACAGTTAATATAAACCCACCCACAGCTAATTTAATGTCATCAATTGTCTGATGTGTCATCTGGCCCTGCCATCTTATGATTTTATAAAATTCAATTTTTTAATATTATAACATTTGTTTAAACATTTTAAAAGTAGAGTCACTTTTATGTCTTCCGACCTCCATGATCATGCTGCAATTTTTCTCCCAAAATAAATAATTTGTATTTATCTTAAAGGAAAATAAAAATATGTTCATCATTTACCTTGAAAAACAGATTTAGTCTTTCAGCAGTTGTGATTTACACTATGAATTTCAGTTATCTCCTCTTATACTAGTAAAAACTCTAGTAATAATATATCTATTTCCAGTGTGTAGAGTTGAAGCAGTTGGTAAAACTAATGTTCCTGAACTAATGTTCATGAAAAGTCATGAATAGTAAATTGAACCAATCATGAAGATATTCACAGAAGGATAAACAATCCCTTTGGCAGTTGTTTCAAACTTTGTGTGTCTAAGAATCCCTAGGGGGCATCTTACAGTGAAGATCCCCAGGCAAGGCCCTGCCCCAGAGGGACTGATTTATTAGGTTCTGGGGGTTGTCTAGGAGTCTGCATTTTAATATTTTGCCTTCGATAATTTAGAAAAGGTATTCCATGGGTCAAACTACTACCCTTGAAAATCCTTTCAATCTCTTCCCCATATTTTTTAATATTAGTATTCAGGTTATAAGAGAAGAAAGGCTTTATTGAAGAGTCTGGTCCAAGGCTTCTTACAGTGTATTCCATTATGCATCTACATCCGATCCATTTTTGGTTAACACTAAAATGCATCTTTATTGACCTCATGCAAGACTAACTAAATGAGGGTCTCTAGAGTGTGGCAGATGTGTTCTAGGAATAAACCTCCCAGGTGATTCTGATGCCCAGAAAGTCTAAGAACTATTAATTTTTTTCTCTTTAACTCCTCTTTTACCCTTGTAGGCTCTGATTTTCTCCAGCCAAGGAGGACTACGAATCATCCTTTTAACAAGGTGTTTACAGGCAATAGATAAGAATGTAGGGCATGTTTAGCCCTTGGAGTTGCCTCAGCACAAGGATACAGTTGAATAGAAGAGTGATTAGTAGAGAGTATTTTTAATATATGAAACATCAAACACTGACATCTGGAATCTGGTAGGATTGTTGTAATCATCATATATATTGATCAGAATCAGATAAGCTCTCTTGTACTAACGAAAAACCCCAATGTTTCAGTAGCTTCGTGTATCAAGACTTATTTCTCATTTATGCTATATGTCCAGCATAGGGGCCTACTATTTTTTTTAGCTTTGCCATCGAAAATGTATGACTTCACACTATTCTATGCTTCAGCCTAAATATAGTACTTATTACTCTTGCTTGCAATTAATTTATTAGCCAAAGCTACCTATGAGTACTAATCTAGTCATAGAGAAAGCAGTCATACACAGCATTGTTGTTTTCTGAGAACAAGATATTAAGATTGCCCGAAGAGACAAGAGACAAATAGATATGTCACATACTTTGTATAATAAAGGATAGAAGAACTTTGCTGCCAATAATGCACCTCAGTTTGCCAAAGTGTCAAGTCAAATTATTGTGGGGGAAAAAAAGGTTGTACAGAAAACAGTAGACCTTGTATATAAATGCTCCCCAAAGAAAAGTTGTTGAAAGAATGTATAATAATAATTACAGCTTCTGGTTAAGAGGAAGCATTCTTAAAAATTAGAATTTCTGTGTTTGGTTAATTTCCAGTCAGTGGCTTTAGTTAGTTCTCTAAGATAAAGTGATGCTCAAACTATCGGCCAATGAACCATTTCAGTTTTGAATATCCATGGAGCCTCAGAAG